GGAGGGAGGAAGATAAAAATAGTCTGCTTTCAGTTTTGTTATCTAGCAATAACATGCCTAGAAATTTTATCAGGAGGAATGGATATTAAGTCTCCACTTGCCACTTCCAACCATTAAGGGATCATTTTGTTCAGGGGCTGTTGAGCCTTTTGAGAACTGTGAGTGGTATATTCCATCTGGAATTTCTTCCTCTCCATCTAGCTTTCATCTACTTAGACAAAATCGAGGAAAGAAAGAAAGACTTTGCCCCCCCCCCAAAAAGCTTTTTGCAGGTTGCCGTATCTTTAAAAGTTTAAAAGCTTTCCCCCCTTTGTATTTCTTTTCCACCAGCCATTCCTCGCTAGATACTAGAAATTGCTTATTTTTCTTATTTTGCTTTTCCTCTAGACAAGCAGCACAATTTGGGGGGGAAAAAATTGGCAGCAGCAATTCATTGTGATACATTATCTCAGGGCAAATCAATATATGAAGACTTTTATAAAACGGATGGGGGGGGGAGAGAGAATAAAAGAAAAACCGCCAGATAAATTCAGCTTTTCTCTGGTCCAAAGAACCAAGGGTTTGCTTTTAAAATATAGAAATGTCCCCCCCCCGCCCTCTGCCCATGTCATCTACTAACTTCCCTTATTGATGGGAAAAGGGTTATTCCCTCCATCTTCCTCAGTAATCCAGTTTTTTACTTTTAAAAGTCAGTTATTATCACTAAATTGCAAATCTTAGGCCTTCACAGGTGTATCTGCACTTTAGCCGGGAAAAGCAATCTGTGTAACTTGATTTCCATTAAAAATAAAATAAAATCCAAGCAGAAGTCAGGGGGAAAAAAAGTGTTTTCATTTAATTAGTTTTGCCTTTAAGAAGCAGAATTGGCAAATAGCAGCAGAATTGGCACCTGTCAGTCAAACACCAGCCAGAAAGGCCAGCTGGTCTGAGCTTGTGCAGTATCTTCATTATGCAAGCCCCGCCCTCCCTACAGCCTTATGACCCAGGCATGTAAAGGAAGAGCTCGCACAGTTATGTCACTGTGGGTGGGGCCTGTCATAACTTAAAATAATGTTCATTCCTGTTCCCTTCTTGCACCTGCTGCTATTTACTTTCCTCCCCCCCCCTGCAAATTGTCACATTTTGCAAATAGCACAAGGCTATTTAATATTGGAGGGGGGGAGGGGAAGGTTTCAAACAAGTAGTGTAGAATGAAAACGAAGTACTCTACTAGGTATAGGCCTGTGGTGATAAAAACCATTGCTTTTTATTTCCATTTTCCTTGATCATTTCAGGTGCGACCTTCTCACCTTTGAAAAAGAGGGCACTAAATCTGATCTTCTCTATTCTCTCCAATTCAGAAAGGTTAAACTATTTGAAGATTGTCCTCAGTTAGATGTTTGACCCATCTTTTTCTTTTCCCTTTTCTTTTTCTTTTCAAAAGAAAGAGCTCGGAAGATTTAATATGTCTACCGAAATCAATTGTTATTGAATGCTCTGCATGCATGAAAATAAATGCAAAATAAAGTAAAAAATAAAATAGAATCCCTCCAGGATTTAGAGAATAGAGGATTGTTTTTTGGTGGTGGGGAGACGGGGTATTAGGAATTTTACTTTTGGTTTATGTGTCCTTGTAAATTATTAAAAAAAAAGATAGTTCATAAGGGATCCAATTTCTCTATTGGAACTGCTACTGAGCTTCGATAGTGCATGAAGTGATGCTCAGATATGCATGTTGAAAACAGACATTACAGATGAAACACCCTGATCAGAGACTTTGAATCACTGACATCGCATCAAATAAAATGAAGGTTTAATTGAGACAGCTTCTATGCACTGCTGTGAATCAGCCAGTGAAAACTTAAAGAGTGCTGAGAAGTCGCAGAGACTTGGATATATGTGTGCATTCACCTTTATGAATTGAACTCTTTCTGCCTTCCAGGTTTCTATTTCTATTTTGTGATGTGTAAATATATATATATATGAAAGATTGGAAATGAGATGGACTACCAAAAGCTCAAGGCTGAGTTTGGCTACTCTATCACCCTTTTTCCATAGCTGACAGGTTTAGTGAATTGCAGCCATGGTTGCCTTTCCTGAATATGGCAACAGAATCATTTAGAGACTCATATGGTAGGAAAGGACCATTAGGCCATAGGGTGTAACCTCCTGCTCAGGACAGGAATCCAAATTAAAGTATCCCTGGCAGATGGCTGTCTAGCATCTGCCTGAATAAACCCAATGAATGAGAACTTACCACTTCTGGGATAATTGGATACACCGCTGAACTGCTCTTCCTATTAGGAACTGTTTTTCTTGTAATATCCAGTTGAATCTGCTTTCCTGTAGGTTAAATCTATTATCTTTTGTTCTGCACTCTGGAATGATAATGAACTGGTCTATTACATCCTTTCTGGTATTTGAAGAAAATGATCATACCTCCTTTCGCTCTTCTCTTTTCAAGGTTAAATACACCCAATTCCTTAAATTTATCCTTACAGAATTTGTTTCCTACTGCCCCGATCATCCTTACTGCCCTTCTTTAAACCCGCTCCAGTTCACCTGAATCCTTAATTTGGAAAGCTTGCCTCCCATTCATGTAACTTAAAATTGCACTTGCCTTTTTGCAGGGATAATGCACACTGTTGGGTTGGAAGTGGAAAAATATCCAAGGTATTTTTATGCAAGCCCTGTTGCATGCCAGGTTTTCCTTTTTTTATGTTCACAAATTTGATTTTCATGTCCTAAATGTATGATTTTACATCTGTTCCCATTACATTTTATTTATACTGTTCTTTTCAGCACGTTTCTCTAACTTTACAAGATCATATTTTTTTTTATTTTACTTCCAGGGTTATCAATCTTACTAGTGTTGCATCATCTGCAGATTTGATCAGCATCCTTTCACTTTTCCCTAAAGAATTCAAAGGTCCAGGACTGAAACTAGAGGCACCCCAACTTAATAGTAAATTCCAGTTAATGAGGACCCATTGATAAATCAACCATATGCTTTAAGCATGATATTCAAGTAGTTTGTGTATATCCACCTTACTGTCATGTCATAGAGATCATACTTAATTAGTTTGCCATTCAGAATGTTGGGAAGTGCTTTGTCAAATGTTTTATCAAACTCAAGGTGGAGGTGGCAACTGCCCACCTACCTATCTTGGATTCTTTTTCCAAGTTTTTTTTTCTTGTTGTGGAATCTTATTTATCATTGCTCTAAGTTTATTAAAAACCACTTTTTTAAATTCAAGATACATATTCAAATATGAGCAGCTTAAGTTTCCTTAAGATCAAGAATTCCAGAATTATATGGGTATTGTATCCCAAAATGAATATGAGCTGTAGTGTGATGTAGTTGGGGTGGGGGGGGAAGCAAACATAATCCTAGGCTGCATGAAGTCAGACTATGCTTAGAATATTACACCCAATTCTTGGCACATTTTGGGAAGGACACTTACAAACTAAACCAAAGAACAATAAGCAAGGTGAAAAGGAGCTTGGAGAAGATGTTGGATACGTTTAGCCTTGAGAAGAGGAACCTGTAGTGAGATTTGATTGACTTGAAAGAGCAGCCTTATAGAAGATGTGGCTGATATGTTCAGTGTTATTTTGCAAGGCAACAAGAAATAATGGTTTCAAATGACAAGGAAGCAGGAAAAATTTCCTAATGGTAAGCTGTTCAACTTGAAATAGTAGCTTCAGGAATTGGTCAGGACTGGTTAAACAGAGGCTAGATGGCCATGTGTCAGGATGCTATAGTAGTATTAGAATAGAATATCAGAGTTGGAAGGGACCTTGGAGGTCTTTTTTTTTTTTTTAATTTTTGATTTATATGCCACCCTTCTCCGGAGACTCAGGGCAGCTTACAATGTGCTAAGCAATAGCCTTCATTTTGTATATTTATACAAAGTCAGCTTATTGCCCCCACAACTGGGTCCTCAATTTACCTACCTTACAAAGAATGGAAGGCTGAGTCAACCTTGAGCCTTGGCGAGATTCGAACCTGCAGTACTTGCAGGCAGTTGGTCTTAATAACAGGGTGCTTTGGACCACTGTACTACAAGGCTCTTATAGTCTTCTAGTCCAACCCCCTGCCCAGGCAGGAAACCCTACACCACTTCAGACAAATGGTTATCCAACATCTTCTTAAAAAATTCCAGTGTTGGAGCATTCACAACTTCTGCAGGCAAGTTGTTCTCCTGATTAATTGTTCTAACTGTCAGGAAATTTCTCATTAGTTCTAAGTTGCTTCTCTCCTTGATTAGTTTCCACCCATTGCTTCTTGTTCTAGGTGCTTTGGAGAGTTTGACTCCCTCTTCTTTGTAGCAACCCCAGAGATATTAGAACACTGCTATCATGTCACCACTAGTCCTTCTTTTTATCAGACTAGACATACCCAGTTCCAGCAACCGTTCTTTATATGTTTTAGCCTCCAGTCCCCTAATCATCTTTGTTGCTGTTCTCTGCACTCTTTCTAGAGTCTCCACATCTTTTTTACATCGTGGCGACCAAAACTGAATGCAGTATTCCAAGTGTGGCCTTACCAAGGCATTATAAAGTAGTATTAACACTTCATGTGATCTTGATTCTATCCCTCTGTTTATGCAGCCCAGAACTGTGTTAGCTTTTTTAGCAGCTGCTGCACACTGCTGGCTCATATCTAAATGGTTGTCTATTGGGACTCCAAGATCTCTCTCTCAGTTACTACTATTGAGCAACGTACCATATATACGGTACCTGTGCATTTTGTTTTTCTTCCCTAAATGTAGAACCTTACTTTTTTCACAGTTGAATTTCATTTTGTTAGATAGCGCCCAATGTTCAAGTCTGTCAAGATCCTTTTGTACCTTGAGCTTATCTTCTGGAGTATTGGCTATTCCTGCCAGCTTGGTGTCATCTGCAAATGTGGATTCCTATACTTAGGCAGCAGGTTGGACTAAATCAGGGGTGTCAAACTTATGTTGTCATGGCGACATCACATGACGTATTGTGACTTTTCCCTCCTTCGCTAAACCAGATGTGGGTGTGGCCAGCACATGATCAATCCGGCCAGCGAGCTGTGAATTTGATAGCCCTGGACTAAAGGATCTCCAAGGTAATTTCTAAACCTTACAAATTTTATAAATTTCCTAGAAGGTCCATGTTTGGCAAAGTTTGTCTCCCAAGAGATTAACGTATTGTATCATATAGCTTTGAAAGATCCATATATATATATATATTTTGGAAAGCCTCATCCATAAGTTCTCCTTGTTTTGTTTGGTGGGGGATTGTAGACACATACAAAAGTATTGCCTTTATTTGTTCTTCAACCTTTTTTAGCCCAGATGTCATTTACAACCAAATTCATTCACTTGGCTATCTACAGAGGTAGTACAGGTCCTTTTGTCTTTCTATTTCTTCTGTTTCTTTTGAATAAGCCATATCTTTCAGTCATTTCACCAGGTCTCCATTATATCTATTAAATCATATTTACTTTCTGCTATTAAGATTACAAGCTCATCTTAAACATTTCCTATATGATGGGCATCATTAAGCCATGAACTTTATGTTCTTTATGAGTTTTTACTGAATAATTTAATAGGTCCGTTTTTTTTTAAATAGCTACAAGTCTTTATATGAACTCCTTTTCTTCTCCAACCTCCATGGATTTAGTTGAAGGCTTTCCTCATCAAAGTCACCATATTTTGACCCAACACATTTTTATTCTTGTAAAGTGCAAGTCATCCGACGGCATCAGTTTATTATCCAGCTAACACGGACTGTGATTCCAGAAACCAGATCATTCCTTTGCTTCACCAGGCTTCCCCATGCAAAATTCTTCTTATCTTTTCCAGTCCTCTTTCATGAACTGGAAGGATTGAGAAATCTCATCTGAGTCCATAAGATCCTGAACCTTTTTTTCTTAAGGGTTCAAAATCCATAATGACATTGTAAGCAGATTTCATGAAGTAATAAGTAGACAGTTCACTTCATAATACCATTGGTCCAACTTTTTTTTTTTTTACATTCAGGGAACTTTTGTTAGGAATTTGAAACTTCTTTAGTGAACTTTTCTACTGAATTCTAAGTGACCATATAGTTTTATAAGTCTCACTTAAGCTCAATCACTTTCCTTTCTTTAAGAGGCTTTATGGGCTAATATTCTAATAACGATGATTTTTTTTTAATTTATTAAACTCAAACTCATCCCACTTTCTTTGATTGAAAATTCTGTGTAACTGTGACTGGCCTTTCTAGAAAGAACTCATCTTGTATGGTTCAGATAAATGGGGAAATTTATTTAGGAAAACACACATATGCACTGCTTAGCAGCAATTCTTTTCCTAACTTTTCCTTTAGAATTCCTAGACAGGAATTGGAGAAATAGCTAAGATCTGTTAGCAAGGTAGAGGCACATAAAATTCCAAGTGTAGCTAGATTGTATTGCATTAAAATGTTTATCACCCACACTTTCGTTCTCACTCATTCATTCTAACTCTTGCAATCTAGAACTGACCCAAGCACTCAGTCCAGACAGAGGATTTCCACTGGGAATTTTTGTTACAGATCGTTTATATTTGGCCAGTTGCTAGGCTAAATTGTCTTGTGCAACACTGATTTAGAACCTGCCACTTAAGTGCTTATTAATCCAGGTGGTATCCTCATTCATAGAACATAGAATAATAGGGTTGGGAGGGAGCTTAGAGGTCTTGTAGTCCAAACCCTGTTCTGGACAAATAGTTGCCCAATCTCTTCTTGAAAATCTCCAGTGATGGAGGACCCACAACTTCTGGAGGCAAGCTGTTTCATTCATTTCATGAATTGTTCTCACTAAGGAAATTTCTCCTTAGTTCTAGGCTGGGTCTCTCTCTCTCTCCCTCTCTCTCCCTCCCTCCCTCCCTCCCCCCTCCCCCCCCTCTCTCCCATTGCTTCTTGTCCTGCCCTCAGGTGCTTTGGAAAATAAGTTGATCTCTTCTCTGTGACAACCTCTTAAGCACTGGAAGAGAGGTATCATATCAACCCTAATTCTTCTCTTCAATAGGCTAGACATACCAAGTTTCCTTAACTAGGTATTCATTCATCACATGGTGTAGCCTCCAGTCCCCTTATCATCTTTGTTGCTCTTCTCTGCACTCTTTCTATTGTCCTTCTTGTTTCCCCCCTCCCAATTCACTTTAGTACATCAAGTTTCTGATAAGAACAGGACATACTATTCTTAGTTCCAGATAATGACATATTGAGTTCTCTTTTTTTATATGTATTGATACCAATTTAATTCTTTTGCAGAGAGTACAATCTTTATTTTTATCAGACTCCTGGGATGTGACCTTCGATGGAGATTCTCAGGTAAAAGACACAACAATGTCTTGAAGCAATCAAGGCGATCCCTCTTTTTACATAGCTTGGGGGATTTCTCTGAGGTCAGAGTTCCTGCTCAGAGATATGAAATAGTTATTTTTTCAGAGCTATACTTTAGAGAACTATATCCTTCTCCTTCTGATATAAAAGTGACACTTTTAAAACATTGATCAAGGAAGGACATCACTTTCATTTCTTGATGAAATAAATTAAAATATTGATGACTCTCCCACAAAAAGTAATGTGTTTCATATCCTTCCTCTGCATTTAAACAGAAAGATACCTGAAAAGTTTTGGTTTTAGGATACAAAAATAATAAAAACACCTGATCTTCAAATATCCAAAATATGTGTAAATATGCACATCATTACCTTCAGCATGTCCCTTCCTTAAAGAACACAGAACCCTTTGGCCAGTAGGCATAATTTTGTTTTAACAAATTAGAATAATTAATTTCCATATTATACAGAAATGACTAGAATCACCCAGCCCTGAGAAGTCCGAGAAGGTACATCTAAATGAATGAATCCTACTGAGATACAACATGTAGTCTCTTCTTTAATAGGCAGCCTCTTTATTATGGCTTAGATACTTGAAAAGCCCATTACCAGGATAGATGGGCAAATGCTCTGATTTTTTTTTAATTAGACTGGTAGATGAATTTTATTGGTTTTCCTGAAGAAAAATAGGGATCCAGGACATGTTTCAAGCCATTATCTGTCTCTGCTGCTCCTTAATTCCAGAAACCATTTCCCTTTCCTTGTCTATTGTAGGATACAAGGGCAGCATAAACAATGACAGAAGAGCCTTTTCCTTCTTCTGCTGGTCCAGCTACATACGATGCATGTGGATGAGATGACTCTCCAAAGTCAATTGCGGAAATCTCTAGGAGAATAGTATCTCCTATAAATACGCACTAGTGCTCCTCATGTTATGATTAATGCCACTAACACTGTCGGTGAGTTGTATCATTGGAAGTGCAGCTCTTTCAGAAAGTCTTGTAACTGCACTTCTCTTTGTTTCTACTTTACAGAGCAGTGGTGGTGGTTTTCTACTAGTTTGTCCCGGTTTGGGCAGGAGCAGCGGCAGGAGGCTCCGCCCACCCACCTGGATGTCATCATGGGTGCTCTGCACATGTGCAGAAGATTCTGCACATGTGCAGAAGCACAGCCAGAGGTGGGTTTCAGCAGGTTCTGACCAGTTCTGGAGAACCAGTAGCGGAAATTGTCAGATATTGCCTGCATATGATGCACCAGAGACTAGAAGGGGTTAAGTCTTTACAGACATCACATGCGACTATATCAGCCAATGAACTCTCTTATTGGACTCTTACCTAGAAACCACTTGGATATCTTCCCATTTCTTTTCTCTCTTTCTCATCTATCTCTCAGCGAGACAACACGTGAACTTCTCTCTCCTCTCAACATCTGAGTCATACAGTTAGGGTAAAAATGTAACAGGACACCCTGTTCATTATCGTATGCATGTATATATTTGTAGATAATAAAAACAACCTTTTGAACCTGAAGCTGTATTGACCAAATAACTTCCTCATAGAACCAAATGAGCACGACCATCAATATATATCTGATAAATGATAGCAGACGATGAAAAATTATTGCTCAGGTCTATGAATTTTTGTAAATTTTAAAATCATAGAATGATTTTTTCCTAACATGGAATCCTTGAACCTGAATGAACTATCTTTACAAGAGATTGATGCATTAACTGTATCCTTAACAAAATAGCACCAATCATTATCCAAAAGACTAAAACAACTTTCTATTGAAGCTACGCAGCAAGTACAAACCTCTTTACGAAAGGACCCAATTTTTTTTCTCCTCTTCACCCGACCACCGAAAGAACAGAACCACACTTACAACAACCTTGCTTCAATCTCAATTCTACTCCACCTCATGACTATCATCAAGGACTTCAACCTTCTGAATCCTTTGTCTGTTCCAACCCTATAACTTCAGACCAACTTTTATTTTCTCAAGCTTCTCCAAAACAGCATTTATATCAAGCTTTATATGCGACAAGCCTACTAAATGCAGGCTGGACTCCTCAAAGAACTCTTGAACTGTTAAACACCCTTTCAACCTCACCAGACCTGGTAAGCGACAATTTTTTGCTTCAACCCATAGATTCCCAGACTGACTTTTTAAACACCCATTATATTAAAAATCCTCCCTCCCCACCTATTGACTTTATTGCTTCCAATATGGCTTCCACCTTCCCCGAAAGCATGGCTTCAAAAATGACCAACAAAATGGCCGCCCCCACACTCCACCATGCGGTCCACAAAATGGCCGACAATTTATATTGCCACACTTTAAACAAAATGACGTCTACCGCTTCAGACCACAAGGTCTCAACCAACCCCCTTACCCCCATACATCCTCTACCCACTCCACAACTGGAGATATTCAGACTGATTCCCTACCTTCTTCATCCAGAGCACCGATTTCGAATCCTCCCAATTTTTTTTTTCAATTTTCAGAACTTTTCTATTTTTGCGCCGTTTGAGTAGTTCAGAGAACCGGTAGTAAAAATTCTGACTGGCCCCGCCCCCATCTATTCTCTGCCTCCCAAGTCCCAGCTGATTGGGAAGAAATGGGGATTTTGCAGTAATCTTCCCCTGGATTGGGGATGGAATGAAGATTTTACAGTATCCTTCCCCTGCCACACCCACCAAGCCATGCCACGCCCACCAAGCCACACCCACAGAACTGGTAGTAAAAAAATTTGAAACCCACCACTGAGCACAGTGTGCAAGCTCACAGTTCCGAACCAGTAGAAAAGTTAAGTGGAACCCACTACTGTTACAGAGGTAAAACTTGCAAGAATTTGTTACTGTAAACTTACAATAAAAGTACTCTTAGTATTTATGATTTTAATTTCTTGATCTGAACTGTCTTGAAGGACTGATATCAGTCTTGCTAGCCTGAAAGCACTTCCACTCTTCCTGCCTTTACTTTCCAGAGAACCTGGGAGGCTTAATTCTGTAACCCAAATTACATTCCTGCTATGGACTTAGTTTTCATTTATCAGACTGTTGCCTAGACTGTGGCTGTTCTGTCTGTTGTTCTCACAGCCCATTATATAACACACACACACACACACACACACACACACACAGAGTGTCCCATTTGACTTAAAAAAAAAACCCCAATGTAATAATAATAATGCCACTAGCATCATGTTTACTTGAAGGATATTTCTGGGACCCATAAAATCCCCACTGGTATCAGAAAGCATTCTAAGAAGTTAGTGAACATTCTGATTAAGGGGTGATGGTGTCCATTTTGTGATATACCTACTCTCCCAATTCAAGATGGTCCAAATGCCTATCTCTAGTCTATAGTCATGTGTATTTCTGATCAGAAAAAAAATCAATGACCTGCTGCAACCAAAGATCTTATATGCTTTGTCTGTTTTTTGTTTTTGTTTTACTTCTGCTCATGTCAGTTGCTATTCTGATTCATAGGTCTACTCTTTCTCTTCGCTGTTTCCAGTCAAAGCATTTGCAAAGCATAAGCCTGGCATTCTATTTTTTTTCAGTTCCATCCCAATTCAGTAACTTAGCTCTCACTGGATAAGTGAAACAATCCAAACACATCCAAGTTCTTAGGCAGAACTTGGGCGTTTTAGAGATTTCATTCAAAAATTGGCATTTTCAATTCTAGAAAGGCCGTGTAGCTTGGTCTAGCTCAGTTGTCAGCAACCTGCGGCTTTGGAGCCACATGCGGCTCTTTGGGCCCACTGCTGTGGCTTCATATTGGGTGATCCCACCACTGGCTGCCCCCGCCCCTCGCTTCCCAGTCACTCCTCGCCTGGCCTGAGAAGGTAAGGGCGACGGCGGATGATGGAGAAGTGGCTGGGGCAGAGACAGATGCAGAGAGAGGGGGAGAGAGAAAGACATAGAGAGATACAGAAGGAGAGGTGGGGAGAGAGGGAGAGATGGGGGAGGGAGGGAGAGAGAGAGAGATGTCAAAAGGATTTTGTGGTTCCCGGTGTTTTTTAACAACTGGTACTGTGCCCTAATGACCGGCTGGTAGGCGTGGCTGGGGGGTATCATGTGACTGGTGGAAGTGAATGACGTTGAGTTGGCCACACCCACCCAGGTTTTGTGGCTCCCAGTGTTTTTTTTTCTGTGGGAAATGGGTCGAAATGGCTCTTTGAGTGTTTAAGGTTGCAGACCCCTGGTCTAGCTGAAGCATAATGGTGTTTTGTTCAGTAATATTTATGAATATCACTCCTCACCTGGCCTGAGAATGGTTTGAGTACCCACAATAAGGAATCAACATGAATGTGTTTTCTTTAGGAGTAAATTAGTATGGATAATTTATAAATTGGGTCAATTGCTATACTTGACAAGTCACAGTGCTTCCTGACAACAAATATCTGGAAAAATATTAGAGCTGTTTCAAAAACTGGAGAAAATTGCCATCAGAAGAGTGGTTTGCAGCACACTCATATATATTCATTTAGAAATACATCCCCTTACATTTAGTGGAACCTTTTTCCCCCTACTATATACGTACTATATTTGTCCAGTGATTATGTGCTTAATTTGAAATGGTTAATAACCAGGAAGGATGAAGTTCTTCATCATAGGTTAAGCGAATTACAGATGCTTGACTCTACTGGCTGGAGAACAATATGAGGCTTTGCAGTATCTATTTTAGTAGATAAATTGATTTATATTTATAAATACATATGACACACAAATATTCTCTAGATGCTTCATGCACTCATTTAGACACTTATTTACTTATACTATATAAAGCAGTACTTTGTAAACTGTAAATACAGAACTGGACAGACCCAGCAATCTCTATTTACAAGACCTTTAGATCTAATATATCAAGCCAAGTAGTTTTAGAAGTGCATCTTTTGATTCGTTTAAGCAGCTGAAGTCATATACTGAAAAGATCTTTGTTTCAATCTAGCAGCTCGCATCCTATAAGACTTACTGCAGCCTAAGACCTGAACTTTCTAGGTTAATGCAAAATGTTTTGAAAAGCTTCTTATGAAGTTTGTTCCAAACTTTTAATCAAGTTATAACAAATCCAGAGTGGGTAGCTCTCAGTTTTAATCTTGCAAACTTGTTAAAAATGTTATAATGTAAGTAAAATTGCCATATTAAAAAATAGAATGGAGTTCTATACTGGACAAGAAGTAATTATCTTGAAAACTGTTTGTCTCCTGTCGATGCAGTAAATGTAAGACTGGACAGCCTTCAGCTGACAGCCAGATATTATCTAGTATTCTCAAGAAGTTTAACTGGATAGAGTTCCAATTTCCATTGCCTGTGGGCCTATCCAGCCTGAAGACAAGCACCTGTTTAAATTTCCCATCACTGTCATGTGAACCTCTGTGACAAACTGTTTCCATGGAAACCAAATTATCTTGACAAATGTTCAACAGACTGCTGCCTAATCCATCTACACAGTGTTGTAAATTAGTCATCTGTCTACTCTAGATCTCCAGTTCCTGATTACAAAAGGCCTCCAGCTGGCTGCTAGTAGAAGTCAATGTATTGGATTGCTTTTGGAGCGGAGGCACTGGCTGTAAAGGACCTTTGGCAGAGGCGGCTAAAACTATGGGGAACGTGCTCAAATTGCCAGGACTCTGAAATGGATCATGCAGATGATTCCGTTTCTTGTTTTTCAGGAAGGTTGTAGCTGAGTGAAAATGTCAGTCCACTGAAATGGGTGCCAAGTTTAGGGATTTAAATCAGTGTATTAGTTAAGTAGGTACAATTTAATGGGATTGAGGTATTCCCTATATGTGAGAGCAGTGCTAGCAGGAGGAGGAGGAGGAGGAGGAGGAGGAGGAGGAGGAGGAGGAGGAGAGGAAGAGGAAGAGGAAGAGGAAGAGGAAGAGGAAGAGGAAGAAGAAGAAGAAGAAGAAGAAGAAGAAGAAGAAGAAGAAGAAGAAAATAAT